CACACACACACACACACACACACACACACACACACACACACACACACACACACACACATTCATTTTATCAGACAGGAAACAGTCCATGCTATAACTTTTCTTTTTGTTTTTAGTGTTGGAAACTCACCATGAATAATAATGCCATGTAATATTGCTTTAGGGACTTCAGAAAGAAAGGGAGCAGATTACATTTTGATATAATTACTTCACATTAGTGCTAGAGCTATTTGTTTAAAATTTTTTTTACAATAGTTCCCCCAAAATAGCTGCTTGTCGCATTTAAAAGTCTTGTGTACAATCTGGAGAGTGGCCTTGTTTCTAAAAACATTGTAAGCCTGTTGAAGGCTAGTGTGAAACCCCTTCTTCATTAAATAACCTATTTGTTAGTATAATGCAGCATTTCCAAAAATAAAGACATATAATGTTACAAACAATGTAGATAATTCGCTTCTGTGGTACTTTCTTTAACTTAGGAGTGATCGTTGTCATTCTTACCAAAGTGAAGCTACATGACTTGTTTAAACAGGGAAGTATCATCCCCGTCATGTGACTGCAGTCTGACAGACAAACTGAACAAAGACTGTTCTGCAGCTGAACTCACAGTGAGCGCTATTTAACAGTATTTTTAAGGTAAGGCTTGCACGGGCACGCATTCACTGCGTGGGTGGACCTTTTGGGTGTGACGTCACCGCACAATTCCCTTTACCCGGGTCCACTCATGCCTGACTCTCACAGCAGCGCGCGCCTCGCTCTCGCACCAACTTACCTTGAATCCAGAGCGGCGCCGTAAGTGAAAGAAGAGGGAATATACGGTGGGTAATTTCTTGTGTTTTTACCTGCATTGCGACTCGACTGGGACATTGATAAACGACAAACTTCTACACTAGTGAAGGAAAGTCAAATAGCAGGTGAGAACTTAATTTTTTTGGATGTGTGTTGCTTCTGTGAGGGAGTCGCGTTGTTTTCTTGAGTGTGAATGATGTAACTGAAAGCCTTCGTCACATGCTTCAAACATCTTTTTACCAATTAAATAAATACTTTGAAACCAGACAGCAAACCGCCGTGTCTTGTTTACAAGAAGTCATCGATATTAAATTAAACGGAAGCCGGCTTGTTTGTTTTCATTAAAGCGTGTTAATTAATAAAGTCACATTTTTCCAGAATTTTTTAAATAGCTGTCAAAAACGGACTTCATGAAAAATCTGCAAAGAACTTCATCCAAGAACCAAAACCTGGTCACATCTTTCAGACTCCCGACGTTGTTTTTGTAGCTGTTTAATCAGTTCAGGAGCATCTGAAGCCCAAAGTAACAGCGGGCGTAATCAGTCACAGCAAGTGAGCCTGTTACACATCCAGTGAAAGTGAAGGCAATCACACCCACAGAAAGTCATGCAAACGGCGCAAATATTAGTATGCAGACGTAGACTTCGAAAAATCAGCACAGCCGTTGTAAAAGTAACTGTGTGAAACCTTGAGATACACTTTCTGATTTTCTGCCTGTCAGCTGATATCTCTTAACTGCTGAGGAAAAAGAGGAACAACTTTGGGTTTCACAATTCCAAAAGATATACTAGTGGAATTTTTGCAAATGTAAAAAAGGAGAAATGGGAGGGGATCTTCCTTTGCGCACAGCATGCGTGCGGTCAGTAAGGTCAGACAAAGTCCTACAAACATCAAGTGTGCGCCATGTGTTATCAGCGTTATTGGCTTCAGTCAAAATGGTGTGAATTTAAATGACACCAGTAAACATTCTTGGCAGCCAACGCTGGATTTTCTTGGACCAGTGAGCGGAAGTTAAACAAACGAAAGTCAATTTTGAAACTGCTGGAACTTAGCGCTTAGAGCATTCCCTAAAGCTGAGTCAGAATTCAATTTGCTTTGCAGTGAAGATCATGTGTTGAGGTTCATGTTCCCTCATCATGTTAAAATGAACATTAAAACCAACAGTTTTAATGCAGTTGTCGAGTGGTTTAGTACACGAAAACATGATTTCTTTTTTCTTGTCTTATTAAGCCACAACTGTGACACAGAGTTTGAGGCACCTGCTGGAGCTGCATGCATTACTTCTGTTAGTTCAGTATATTTTATGATATTGCTCCGTTGTTAAAGACAGTATTTTATCATTTACATTACACCCATAAATCAACAAATCTTTGTATTAAAAGTCCTGGATAAGAGATTTGTAGGCCTCTAGTTTTTCCTTTGCACAGACTTGAGTTTGTCTTCAACTGCCAGCAGTTTGGTTTCACCCACAAAACACATGAGCAACTGCAAACATGAAAGATGACTATGGGCGTAGTTGAGTTATGTAGCATGTTTGTTTTTCTCTGGAGGGGAATCTATCATGCCCTTTCATTTTATTTGTCATCATACACTCTATTATATCATTGACCTGACTTTAGCTTTTATGATGTCACATGGACACACATGGACTTCCTAAAGATTCTGAATGGTGTGAAGGTCCGGAGTCAGTGGTGGCCACAGTATGTGAAAATGATGTCTTGTGCCCCCCGAACTACTCTTTCACAATTTAAAAGGATAGTATGCAGCTTTCGGGATATAGCCACAGAATCAGAGAAGAAAGAAATGAATTCATGGAAAAATCATTAAGCATATTTAGGTAATCATCTGACCTAGTTTTGTTTTTTCTGGGCGCATGAAGTAACCTCAGATCATAACAACGCCTCCACAGGTTTGTAAAATAAGCACTATGCATGATGGGCTCCTGATATGCCTCATTTCTTACCCTGATGTTCCGATTTCCCTGGAACAGGGTAAGACTGGGCTCATTAGACTATGTGACTTTTTTTTCTACTGGTGTAGAGACCAATATTTTCACTCCCTATCAAATTGAAGCCTTTCTTCTGGCTAGCTTCACTGATGAGTGGTCTTTTTAGGGCTACATAGCTCTGGAGACCCAATCTCTTGAGTTCTTTACATAATATGTGTATGAAAGTGCCTTTCTTGCAATGTATTACACTTGCATTACACATTCCTCTTTACTCGACTTAAAAGAATGCACTATGGAATGAAATTAGATGCCGGAGAAAGTAATTTGACTGCTTGGCATATTACTTTCTCGTTACTCTGTAAAACATAATTACATTTTACTTATAAACACAAAGCCAAACAAAGATGAAAACCAGCCTAAACATTAAAGTAGAATCGCCAGTAATTCTATTTTAGAAACAAAAACAGGTAGAAATGGAGGCTGCAGGCTGATGGCCCATCACTGTGGAAATTCGGGGCCTGGTTACTGTGCTGGAGTCATCATGGACTCGGCTTTATCATCACTCTGGGTTCTTGGCTAGATTTGTGTTTGCATGCTGTCTGTGCAGGTGCTTGCAAAGAGCTGAAGTTGTGTTAGCCTTATAATGCAGTTGGTACAGTAATTTACTTTACTGCATTATAGAAAACTCTAATATGATTACAGTCAAGCGTTACTTTGTAATCACGTTACTTTGTAATCACGTTACTTTGTAATCACGTTACTTTGTAACTTTGTAACATGTTACATACAACAGTGTATCTTTATTTAGTTATTTTAATCTAACTGAATTTGTTACTCAAAGCTTATGGTTGAGCACCATCTTTCTAGGTCTTAATAAGTTGTTGCAATGTTCATACTTCTTAGCAGTTTCAGCAGTTTCCTTGAATATCATAAAATATATAAGTCCAGGTGGTAATTTATTTTATTTTATTTTATTTTATTGGACCAGACTGTATATACTGTCACCGTGGCATTGGCTCATACTAAACATGGTTGGTTCTTTGTACTTTTGTATGCTGATGAGGGCCACGGTGGTACAGTGAAAGAAAGGCTTTGCGGAGTCTAGTTCTTTCCGTTTTCTTAAAAGTAAATAATACATACTGATAGTGTGATAATAATTCCCATATACAATTTTGCTAGTGTTATTTGGAACTCTGTTAAAAGTACTTATATCAATTGAGTTGTATTTTGTTAAGACATTTTTCACCAATCATTTTGATCAAGCTAATAATAGTGAAAAAAAAATTGTTGTCAAGACTACGTCTCACAGATCTCTTTTCCTCTTTTTGGTTTAACAGGATGGGTGAAAGCAACTGCTCAAGGATAGATGTAGACAACGATACATGCCACTTCAAGCACCACATTAACCCTCCTGTGAAACCCCTGATCAGCGCCTCCATGTTTGCTATAGGCATTTTTGGAAACGTAGCTGCCCTGGTGATCTTGGAAATACGGCGACGCAGGAACATAAGGAGTGGAGGCACATGGCAGCGCAGCTTGTTCCACATCCTCATCACATCATTGGTGGTTACGGACTTGACTGGAACCTGTTTGGTCAGCCCATTAGTGCTGGTTTCATACTCGCGCAACTTAACCCTGATTGGTATGAGGCCTGAAACTTGCGGCTTGTGTTCGTACTTTGGTGCCACTATGACCTTCTTCAGCCTGGCTACCATGTTGCTCCTCTTCTCTACAGCACTAGAAAGATGCTTTGCCATTGGGTACCCCTACCTGTACAGCCGGCATGTCACCAAGAAGTGTGCATACATCACAATATTGCTGGTGTTTTTGTTGTGCATAATATTCTGTCTCCTCCCTTTTGCTGGATTTGGGAGATATGTGCAATACTGCCCGGGCACATGGTGCTTCATTGACATGAATGCAGTGAAACCACAGAACAAAGCCTATGCCATTCTGTATGCCACTTTTATGCTGGTGCTCGTGGTGGCCATTGTAGTGTGTAACGCCTTTGTGGTGTACCAGCTGTATAGGATGTACCAGCGCCGGAGGAGAAATGGCACAGTGATGTCCACAATGAGATCCAACAGTGAGCGCAAGCTTCTGTCCATGTCAGAGGAGGTGGAGCATCTGATCATGATGGTCGTCATGACCGTTATCTTTATCATCTGTACACTACCACTAGTGGTAAGTGACAATGGAGTGTTGTTCTGCAAATGACCTTTGTTCATCAGTTTGTTTGGGCTGAACTGAATTCGTAGGAGCCATTCATGGCCAATTCAGTTTTTTTTGTCTCTTCTTTTGAGGAGACCACTCTACAGGTGGATGAATCTACCAGAGGTGGAGGATGGACTTAACCTTGTTGTTTATTGTCTTATGTAGTCTGGGAGTTGACTGAATGTTAGGACGGGTGTAGTTTTTTCTCTGTGGTGGGGTCAGATGGGCACTGGGGTCCTTTTCTCCCCATCCCTAAATATGTCCCTTCTCCCGCTTAATTACAGCAGGGAGTGGGGACCAATAGGAATGGTCAACGCCTCCTTCCGTAGACAAAATAAATAAATAAATACTTTTTTTTTTTTACTTCAATGCTTACAATTTTCACAATTGCAAGACCCTTCACTGAACTGACTCTTAGCTGTCTGGTTCTGCCCGCCAGACCACATGTTTAACATCCCTTGTCTACTATTTGTGACCGGCCTGATTAGGTCACTGCAGTTTTTGTGCTACATTGTTGGTCATGCAGGCTTACAGGCTAGTCTTTTTTGACACTTTATATCCTTTATACACTTTGGTAATAGTGATATTTTGGTTAGAGTACTTGTTATTAGGTTCACACTGTGTCACATTACCTTAATACTACACTACCACTATTTCAGTCCCCCTAGAACACAAACCACGTTCCACTTATACAAAATTAGAGACAATGTTTAGCTATTTACAAAAGGAAAGCGAAGTACTGGCTTAGCGGTTTGACTGATATGCAACTCATGTATATGCATCTCTTTTCAGCTTATCTGATCTCGAGTACTGATTGAAAGATAAAACTGTTTTTTGTTTTGTTTTTTTAGCCTGGTTGCTGAAAAACTGCTGTCTTATCAGATGTGTATCAAAATGTCACCCACAGCCGATACTGTTTATTGTGTGAAGTCTGATACATATGCAAATGTAACTGTTTCTCTGTGGACACGTGGTGGAAATGCAATACTCATAAACATTGCAGTAGATTATCGGTTGCTTTGACGCCAATGTGTAGACAGGAATTTCTGTAGTGCCTTTGTGAAGCTGCTGCCTA